TGCTTCAATAATGTTCAGGTCCGGGCTCTGGGGAGGCCAATCCACGGCTGATACTGCTTAATTTTGTGTTTTATTATCCAGGTGAGCTTTCACTGTGTTCGCAGTGTGTTTGGGGTCATTGTCGTGCTGAAAAATAAAGCCAATGCCAATTAGACACTTTTATATTGTGTTGCATGTTAGATCAAAATCTGACTACTTTTCTGCATTTATAATTCCATCAAATTTGCCAAGATCTTCAACACCACTGGCTGAAATGCAGCTCAGAGCCTGCAGTATGTTTTATAGATGGCTGGAGACGCTCACTGTTGTACCTTTCTCCTGTCCTCCATACATACTGATGATCATTTGAAGCGAAAAACAAATCCCCCAAACAAATCAAATTTGGATTCATCACTGCATAAGACTCATCAACACTCATTTTCAGTCCAGTTCTTGTGTAATTTGGCAGAACTCAACTTTTTCTCCCTGCTTCCCTTCCTTAAGAATGGCTTCATGACAGCCACACTTCCACTGAGACCATTTCTGATGAGGCTTCAGTGAACAGCAGACGGATCAACTGAAGGGCCAAAGGGCATCTCTTTGGCCTTTTTGGGGTTTTTTTGGGTTTTTTTTTTTTTTTGGATTCTCTCAATTTCTTAAAGACATGACTTTCAGAAACCGTACATCTGCTGTAGATGGTCCTCCATTTCCCTAGTTTCCTCAGTTTTTATTTTTATTTTTTATGGACAGCACATTATGTCGTGAGGTGCCACATTTTTGGTTAATACCTTTTTGTTTTTGAGAATCACCTTGTTTGTGGACAAAAGTTTTTTGTTAACTTAGGTATTTTTTTTAAAGATTCAATGAAATGAGAACAACATTTTTGTGACAGTAATACAAATATTAAATTCTTAAGTGCTTTTTTATATTTCAGTGATTTATACGTCAGTGTTAATCGGCTGAATAAAGAAAGAAAGAAAACGAAAATGTTCAGACGCAAGGACTGGACTGAAAATGAGTGAGAAAATCCCCCCCCCCCGATACAAAGCGTGGACAACGTTTCTAAAGTCTGAAGAATTA